AAATAAATTTCACAGCTTGTCTAAATTCTTAGCCTCTTTGTGCTATTCATTCAAAACCTAATGCCCACAACTTCATTTGCCGTTGCTACTGTCACTAACCCGCCTTCAAGAAAGATTATAAATTTTTCATTCCGTTATTCACGAATTACGCCGTGTGCTTAGTTTATCATAACATTTATATTATAATATTTATTTCTTATAATTAATATTCCAAGTTCTTGAGATTTATTGCTCAGACTGCTTACTTATCACGTTGCTATATTCCATTTTTATTTTGTTACATATTTATTTTCATTTCTTTTAGCCTTATTCGTCTTCAGTGTAGCTGTCCGAAACTTTAAAAAAACATAAAAAATTATTTATTCCTTTGTATTTAGCGAAGGCTGACCGATGGGTTTACTCCATAGAAGGCAAAAGTATTTATCAATGTTTCGCTGATTTATCCCGGGATGTTGTTCAATATTTTCACACAAGACTACAACATTGGTTGTTCCTTTATCAAGCGAAGAAGTTCCGGTAGGAGATTTTGACTTCCGGTGCTATTTCCATTTGTCGTGTGTAGGAGGTCTGTTTCCTACAGGGCTGTCTGATGGGAGCCATCAGCATCTAGATACTACCATGTGGGCGGGAAATCTCAAGATGAAGGAGATACTTCGCAACTGAGGGAGATACTTCTTCTGAAGTGCATCAGTGGCTTCCGAGCTTTTCAGTCCGTGTCATTGTCGCATTTCCCCTCTCTCTCCTCGCCACCTAAGGTTAAACCACCCTCGTCGTCCTCCCTGAGCGGGAAGCAACCACCCCCCCGCCCCACGTTCATCGTCCTCCTGATTTCACGACGACTTCCCCAGGTCTAATCCTGGTAATCGGATTGCATACGATGGTACAGGCTAGAACCAAAGTACACGCCCATAACGTACACTTCACCAGAGCAGTAAAAAATGTTGGAAATGCTTCTGACGTCCTCCTATTCAAGAAAGAAAATTTTAACCTCGAGATATCGAACAGGGAATTGAAGCTAAGAGAATGTTCGGTTTAAGCAGCGATATAGCACCACATCGATCTTATGTGTTCGCGTGTGGAGTTTTATGTGCGAGGGCGTGTTTTCGATTTTCTTTCGCAAATGGAGTTTCATAGAATTGATGGAAAGTTTCTGAGTCTACGTACAGTGAAAGTAGAAAAGTTATTAATTTTATCGGAAAGTTTAGAATAATCCTGGTTCTCAGAATCTGTAACCCCAGCACCTATTCGATTTCTGTAATGTTTTTTTGCAGAGTGACGAGGAAATCGAGTCCGGGATACTGGATCTGAGTGAAAGATGACTTCAGATAGCAGCTCATTTCAAAACATTTTTTATCTGCAAGTGTAATGCAATACAACGCAGAACAGCAACGCATATAAAACCCAAAAAATTATTATCATAATATTAATACAAGTTAACTGGGAGAGAAATTAACTAAATTAATTATGAGGAAACCTCTCCAAGGTTACATTTGTGCATAATAAGTGCAAATATTTTCGTCTCATACATGGATACCAGTTCGAAACCCGTAGCACGAAGGTTTGTTTCTATATTTCTATCGTCATCAGTCATAAGAGACGTTGCTGGTGATTTTGAACGTGACTTTACATTTGTTTAGTAGGCCTTACAGGGCATTAGGGGCAGAGGAGGGAGATAGCAGAGAGAGAGATGAATGCTGGGTTAGCGGAGTGACAGGTAGTACTGGGAGACTAATGGATGCTTGGCCAAGGGCACAGAACAGCTTGTGCCACTGAATCGTGTAGCGCGGGACACATAATCTTAATTGGAAAGGGACGAAGGGATAGGACACAGTTTATAAGGGCTTTGATGTCGTGTTTTGTAATGAGCACACCTGAGGATATACGTAAACGGAAGGTTTAAAATTGCAATCTTAGGTATGTCAGAGAGTCATTTAACAGACATACACTGTGTTCCAAAAAAAATGTTTCTTTAATTTTAGTTTGATTTTCTACATGAAAGGAATGTATGAAATTAGTGATCTCAATGAAAAGCGTTTTTTCTTGAGATGCTAAGAGACTTCCAGCAAGTCAAGTTGGTTCATCACAAAAATATCTAGCTGCTGTGAATCCAGTTAATACGCCATTTCCTTATGACAAGTTATTAAATGGACTTTCCCTGTAGGCCTTGAAACACGAGACTCGGTTACTTGAAATTAATTCTAATTACTCTTCAAAACCAATTTCCAATCGATCGTATACTTTATCCTTAGCAAAGGGAAGACATATTTAATTTTAAGATTTGTACTTAATATTGGAAACTCTGGACTCGATGCGAATAAACGAGTACGCATCAAAATCCACATGTGCAGTGTGAGAACTGTACTTCTCGAAAGCTTAAATGTTTGCTTGGGTTTCGCAAGATAAAATTCTCTTTTGTTAAACAAACATCTTTGACATTACGCAATCTTTCAGGCTATTCATGCACTCTGGTATATAATAAACACCAAATATCCAAGTCGTTTTACGAACTCCATTTAAATATAAGTTTCCCTCCGAAATATTGCATTCTACCTTATTACGTACATTTGATAACATTTAAATTTCTAAAAATATTTAATGGCAATTTCTTCTTCCATCATTTTGTTTTCTATATTACTCCATATTTATTAATGTTTTATTTAAATCATTGCTTTACAGACTAATATTGAACATCAGATGAACCACGCCATATAAAATATAGGAGTAATCTGATAAGAACATTTCAATAAACTGCATAACATTGTAAATGATTGTAATTCGAGTTTTAAATTTTACCAATCTAATTTATACCTGAGGACGGTTAAATATAACCGAAACATGTCGTAAGAGACGTTCCAATTTGTAAATCGATCATTCGATGCGGAACGTGAAATTATATTTTAAATATTTTATATTTTATTATCTTATTAAAAATTGTGATTTGACGGAAAATATTAAATATTGACAATTTCTTTGTTGAAAACCCAATAAAGTGCGCGACACAGCGTATTTATTAAGTCTTTTGTTTCTTAATCGGAAACATTATTAAACGCGGTACACAATTTTATAGATTATTCTACATTAAAAGAACTTTCTATAAGTAAACACGGAAATAACATTCTTACCAACCAGAAAAGTGTTCTCGTACCCGTCATAATTCTAATTAAAAATTATGTAAGTGATTAAAATACACATACACGGTTCATTGTTTGGAAGCCTATATTTAAGGAGGAATTGGCTTCTATAGACGATAGGAGAGGGAGTGGGTACAAGGAGGGATCGATAAAATACGTTCATCATTAACTCTGCCTTACAGCTGCGTATTAAAACTTGTTCTATACATTTGTGGAAGACTTGAAAAGCGACATTCACTCATAAATCACGCTCTATAGTCTGTTACATACATAAATGTTGCTAATTACTACATAAATGTTTGTGTTCAAAAACATACATCCTTTGTTTACACCGCTGATAAAGGTTCCATTATAACCCCAGGTAAGGCAACTGTTCATATTTCTAGTGCGTCACTGTTTGTGATTGTTTGTCATTGTTTCACCGTAAAATGACAAGTTCTGACTGTCGCTAACATACAACGCATAAACTCGACATTCATTGCATTTGTATTTTATAAACAAAGAATAACATAGGGCTTTAATGAGAGCTCGTCATATTGGGGAGCAAAGTTAAAAGGGGATTTATTCTGTAATCTAAACTAACGATTAAATTTGCGCTTTGAGATCTTGAACTCACAGATATAACAGAACACTTGAAGGGTGTACTCTGTGGAATAAGTCCAGGGACGAAAGGTGTTACAATTCCTGTTAGAACCACCGTTTTGGCAGAAATTTTTTAAGGTATGTTTGCGTAATAAAATCCTTCCACAACTAACTTTCCAGAGCAGAGTGTTTCTCGACGAGCTAACAGTTGTTTAGGTAGTCAAGAAATCTTACGCCTCTTAACCCCTTGAAGCCAAAGCTCGCCTACGTATTTATGGGTTTAGTCCGTACCGCAAAGAAAACACCGCACTTGAACATTACAAAGATCAACTGATTAACGATATTTAAAGAAATAATCGCTGTTCACACTGAGAATCTTACGAAAACCTTAGATAAAAAAATGTGTGATTGCTGATTATTTAATCAGGAAGTTAAATTAACCTTTGAAGGGTTATACGGAACACGAAAGTTCAATACTGTGTTCGTAAGGACCAGCACATTCGTATTTGTACTGAATCGAGGACAAATTCTCTCAGCCTGTGTCTAAGATTAAGTTTGGTATATAAATGCCGCGATTAGATACATTGTCGTGTGTTCACACGATTACTTACCGGCTATGTCCAGGGTAGCGTTCCTGCTTCTCGCGACGCCGACCTGGTTGTGCGCGACGCACCAGTAGACCCCGCCGTCAGATTCCTTCCGTCCATGAACTACCCGGAGGAAGAATAGCGAACCAGCCGGTAGAAGCACTCGGTGGGACTTGGCGTCACTCGGAGACGTCCTCACCAGTTCGCCGTCCTTGTACCACTCTATAGTTGGTTCTGGAACACCCTCCGCCTTGCAGTTCAAGGTCACGGGATCGTGCCGTGGGACCGTCACATCCGTCGGATGTTCCGTTATCCGAGGGCTTCGGTATTGTTGGTAGTGCCCTGTTGGGAGGGAACAAACAAAATCAGTTCTTCAGATGCCCTTATGGAATCGTGAAGAGTCAGGCCACTTGTCTCGTTAATGATCTCATTCGTCGTTCAGTTCAGAAGCTATGGCGGGTTCATTACAGTCTGTGTCTTTCAGCCATATATATACTGAGCCAGTAAGATCTATTTTATTTAATTTCTGGTTGAAATATGCCACCATCATTCGCACGACGTAATTACAATCTTGCCTGTATATTATGTTAATTCTCTTTCAAAAAAAGCTACCTTGTAGAATCTTAGACAGACGGCTCTTAATTTGAGTACACGTGTAAAATTAAAAGCAGGCAAGAATACGTCAATAGTTTCAAGCAGCAGACATTTATTACTAGGTCTCCCAAGAGTCGTTTTGGGATACCTGTTCTTTTCATGACGACGAGGAATTTAAGAAGATGACTGGTAGTGTGTGGATGGCAGCCATGCTCTGTCGCTCGCTCTGTGCTCACTATTGATCCAAGAACAGCGAGCGGGATAAAGTTCCCTACTGAGCGGGAACATAACCAGCACAAGTTCTTCGCCAAAGTTTGGCGGAATAATGAGAACTGGCCACAAAAGTGTTCACTTACTGCCTCTGGTACGCCCTGAAATACCTTTCCTTGTCGGGACTAAAGTCGAGTTGCAGGTACAGAACGAGGACGTCCAAGACGATGAGGGGGGGGGGGGGGGGGGGGATACATTTCGAAGTTTCGACGGGAGATTTGGTTTACGAGCCCCGGAATATGATCTGTGGAATGGCGGTTTGCACAGTGACTGACGGGGCGACTGGTGAACGAGGTCACGGAAATCCTGCTACAATCCCAAAAATTTCAACACAAACACAACCCTGGAACTCGTCTGCCAATGTGCTCCGACGAAGTAAGGTCATCAGGTAACAACTGACGGAAGGGTCAACGACATCAAGAAGCCAACACTGCCTAGGCTGTTCAGAACTGAAATGGTGGTAGAGGAAACCTTCACAAAGACAGTGACGTATGAACACAATGCTCTTCCAACTTCTACACATCCGAGGTCATGGGTTTTTGCAATGATACGTGTCTATTAATCTCTGGCACACACTGTGTGACGACGGAGAGCTCCCTTGCAAGTGTCCAGAAGACCGGGTCTCCAATATTCCGAGAAAGAAAAATTTCTCGCCGACAGTCTTAAGGGCTCAGTTTCGGCCGGTGAACATCAAGTCAGAACTGGAAGCTGTTGAGATGGTTTTAATAACGTTTATGATGTTTTCAAGGCTGTAAGTCCGAAGATGGCTGTCTTCTGGTATGTTGCGCCGTGTAGAGTGGTATAAGTTTAGCAAAGTTTTAGAGGTCCTTGCTGCCCCCCATCATCAGGGCGACGAGTGATCGTTTCTCGTCAGTTATCTGGATATATATCTCAATAGAGTTCAGCACTGGCTATGGGATTGGAGGACTGCTATCAAAGTAGCAAAGCCTACCGCGAGGAGAGCGAGATTTGTCACAAATAAATTCATTGCAGTTTACAGGGACTACCAGACTTTCATAATTAAGTGCCCTACGTGTAGGTCTAAAACTGTGTCACTCTCTGTACGCTTTTCTTGAATATTCTCCTGTTAAGGATACTACAAATGTCTTGAGCACGCTGATAAATATATTTGTTTATGAACAGTATGGTGTTCCTTAGGGACCTCAGCCTCACCCAGTGGTATCCTTGCATTGCACGCAACGAAATATCATCTTAAATACGTGTTTGTCCCTCTGATGTCTGAGTCTGCGCAATGGGGTAGACGTTATCACTGCCACCACGAAAGACTGATTACTGTTCTACCACTAATTCCAGTTTAATGTTATCCGTGGACTAATCTGGGAGACAGATGGTGATACATTGCTTGTTTAAAGTCATTTTAACTCATATCAGTCAGATTGACTGATGGCTCAATACTTTGTCAAAATTTGCCTTGCTTTCTGAATATCGCATGGGCGGATTCAGTCGCTGTGAGGCCCTGAAGCGATGTTGGGCCTACAGCGAGAAAAATACACACTCAAAGATTGGACGTCATATGCATTTTAAAGCTTCTCATCTAAAAATTGTATTTAATTACTTAATTCCTTAACAGTTATTCTTGTGTAATTAATTAATCTTGTCCGTCTAATCACAATTTAAAAATTAAAATTAAGATAATTAAAATATCATGTGATGTTCCTATCGAAACATTCGATTTACATTTGGAACATCACTTTCTCACTACATGTTTCGGTTCTTAGATGAACCATCTTCAGGTGTATAAAAAATTACAATTATATAAACTTACAATTTAATCATAATCGAATGTTTCGATAAGGAGCATCACATGGTATTTTAATTATCTTAATTTTAAATTGTGATTACACGGACAAGATTAATTAATTAAATATATATATTTTCACAATATGACGCAACTCTATCATCTTATGAATGGTTCTTATTGTGTTTGAATTCACATTTCGTACTTACCAACAGCTACGTTCCGTAGGAACTTGCAAATCAGTGACTTATTTTCTCACCAATAAGAATGGTTGTAAGATGCAAGGATGTAATTATGGCGGAAGTTTGGATTATAGTCTTCTGGGTTATGATGCAGTATAATCTCATACATGGTAACCATCGCTTCGGAGGAATGTAATGCTCCCTTTTGTACGTTGAAGAAGGAGGCACAAGATTCTTTCGAAACGTTAGTGAGTACATAGCGTCATCACTCACAATATCATAATCCCGTTAGGCGCTTGCTTTCATTAACATTATCCTCTTAGTAACTCTTAGTAACTTAGTTTGGAATAGCACACTGCATGGTCATTATTTCCTACATATTTTCAGTAATAATTATGATATAAAAGTGAAAATTACATGAATTTAACGTAAAACTAAGATCACATAATTTTCTGGTTTGAAAAATATTACAGTAAATTACGTATATCGCATATCGATTGTTTACTTTTCTCTCTGCATTTTGTGCTCATTGCCCTAGTTTTTATACTGACAACTCTGTAGTTTGTGTAAATTTGAATACGTCAGATTGTCTTAAAAAGAGCTGTGGTTAAAGTATTAAAATATTATAAAATGTTGGTATAAGCCGATAACATTTTAGAAGTTACATAAACATTTTCGTAAACTTTGCTTTTTGCTGGAGTCAGGATGATGGAACTTGCTTACGTCACGTCTTTTTTGTCGTTCTCCGTCTGTTTATTTTCAAGTAACAGTCAATTTGCATCGAGCTCTCTAATTTTGAAAGAGACTTCATAATTGGCAGGTACTTAGTTTTGTTTCATTTGACGATAAATACTCCATGCTGATAAAACAACGAAAGAAAATTGTTTCTCAGCAACCAAAACGGCACACGGCCTACAAACCTTCTGCGTTACAGGCCATAATTATCTTTAACCAGTCTCCCAAGATCAATGAAGGAAGTTCACAACCACTAGGAAAGAACACGCCAATGTCTGAAGACAGTGAGCTCAGAACTTGTTCCGTCTCTTATCTACATAACTCATATAATAAATTGTAAAATTTGAGGTTTTCACGTCGGTGAGTTCGAAGATGGCTGTCTTCTGTGTTGTCGCCCCGTGTACTCTGGTAGAAGTTTACCGACTCTCAGAGGTCCTTGTAGCCTCCATTATCAGGGCGAAATATTAATTTTTAACATTGTCATGAGATAGAGAATTAGTTGAGCGAGGGAAATGAACCGAAATGATATCTGGTTAAGAGTACAAACAGAGATGTATATTAAGGGATGAAGTATAATGCATTCAAGTCATGGGGCGAACAAATCCTACTTGTGTACTGAAGTTATCATAAACACAAACAAACTGAGGAGGAACTTAGACGCTCAGAAGTTTCTAACTGTTCTACATGAAAGCGTAATTAGAACTGAGCACACAGCGAGGCACCCGACTTTTCCGTTATCACACGTTGTACCAACGTTTACAGTAGTTTTCACAGAATACACGTGTTCTTAGGACGTGAACAGAAGTTTTCCAAAGTTCAGAACTTCCAAGATTAAAATATATTCTTTAAGCCTCTCTATATTTGCAAATTGTATTAAAGGGTGTAATTTTTCGTAAACATAATTCTACCTTGTGAAAGGTTTATATTAAGCAATCGCTGGCCATGAAATGAATGCTTACAATTCAACGTCGAGATTCAGAAAGGCACGAAATGGATTTCTCGTAGCACGAGCTACCACGCTACCACGTGCATAAGGGTGTAGTTTTGCCCAAGACTCGAGACATTTATTTCCGTAAGCAAAATTCTATCACGAGTAACAAAGAAACCATGAGGGATTTATGAATAATGCTTTGAATAAACACCCCCCCCCCCATTTCTGTTCACTCATCAATAATGTTTTATACTTTAAACAAGGAGCACATTTAATACGTCAATTTGAGATTGTGGTCTTAAGGCCCGCAGGGAAATGTGTTTTACGACAACACTTTTTAGCATCTTACGTCGCTTACAAATTCAGTAAAGTGATTATCGGCAGAGCCGCTCGGTGTAGACGTGAAATTACCAATATAATACATCGACGTGATAATGAATTTCCGGTGATGGTCTGAATTAAATATAAATATCTGAATTGAATAAAAATTTACTTGGATATTATCCATCGTCTAGCAAATATAAAACGGAAATATGGATTAGCTCTATCTAGTGGGCCCAACTGTGTAAGACCCTGAAGACGGAGATAGAGTCCCATCTCCGAAACGTCGTTTTACGTTTTATATTTACTAGACGATGGATAATATCCAAGAGGTCCGGAGATAGGGATTAGCTCTATCTAGTGGGCCCAACTGTGTAGGAACCTGAAGACGGAGATAGAGTCCCATCTCCGAAACGTCGTTTTTTACGTTTTATATTTACTAGACGATGGATAATATCCAAGAGGTCCGGAGATAGGGATTAGCTCTATCTAGTGGGCCCAACTGTGTAGGAACCTGAAGACGGAGATAGAGTCCCATCTCCGAAACGTC